TTTTTTTATTGTATTTTATATTTAAAGGTTTTTCATATTAAACAGGTGTATATATATAGTACTTGACCTCTATTATATAGACATATAATGAAATTAAATTAATGTTGTGTAGTTTTAATACATGACTCAAAACAAAAAAGTGGAGAAATACTTTTGACGTCGACGCTATCAATTTAATACAATCGAGCAAAAAAAACTACTGTTTCACTAGTTTCAAATAAAAATTTTCTACTGATCAAAATCTGAGTCTTGTCATAAATTGTTGATTTTGTGAAACACAATTAAAAATAATGTTTTTTGAAGTATTTAGAATAGAAATCTGCATATCAATAATATTTCGTTCTGATATGTAAACTACTTAGTTATTGCATTTCTGAAGGATTAATTAAATAAATGATGAAGAGAAATATGTTCAAAAATATATAGAATAAAACAATCTTCTTGTGATTAGCAAGTCATTGTATTGTAAACGATTAAATGGCTACTTAATCGCGGACAAAATTTCAGCCCTCACCAGTGGCGTACGCAGAAATTTTTCAAGGGGGGGGGGGGCCGGCCATGGCACAAAAAATTTTTTATCACGTGAAAATATTTTTTCCTGTACCCCCTCCAGGACTTTTTCGTCTCAAGAGGGGGCCCGGGCCCCCTCGGCCCCCTCCTGCGTACGCCACTGGCGCTCACCCACACTGTCGGCATGCTAATTGCTTTGATTTTCGTTCGCAATCAAGAAGACACGATTTCCTACATGTTACGATCACTAGACAACAATGAATTGAACAATTTGTTTTTTCCTCTTTATGACAGACATACTCACATAATATGCAGAAAAGTATAACTTTTTCGTGAATGAATGATTAAGATTAAAAATGAATTATAATGATTCAAAAAAATCTCTAGTTTCAATAGATGAACAATAAGATATAATATGTAATTGACTGATATTTTATCATTAATACAATCTATCAAAAGATATTATCTCATTCAAAAAAAAAGTTGTATACAATTGAGATATTTTTAAAATTGTTATCTACAAAATAAAAATATAAGAATATAATTGAACTTAATTCATAATGTAGATATAACAATTCAATTTGATAATATTCTCATTCAATTTAGTAATGAAAATTTCATTATATTGAATAATATACATTTTTTGAATTTACTAAATAAATATTATCTAATAGAATTTCAAGAGAAATCATTTGTTAGTTAAAAAAATAAAATTAATGAAAAAATTTCTTTCATTTATTTATTTTTACTTATTATCAGTCAATCATTTCTATTGAGTTATGCAAAAAAGCGTGACGTTCTCTTCATCTTTCTTTTCTTGTCGTCAAACAACGAAATGACCTTCTTCACTAAATGATAAGTGTATATTTACAATAATAGCAAGTGTTCAATTGTGATTGTTAGAGAATATTCATAGTATATGAAAAATTCATTCTTTTATTTTATTTAAATAAATAAACAATTGTTAAAGACTGTTTCTTTTTTTTTTCTTATTCAACTAACTTAGTTATTCAATCTTCCTAGTTGATATTAGTAAAAATTTATTCATGATTGGACTTGCATTTGTTGTACAAATAATATCGAATATTTCTTTTCTATCTTAAATAATCAAAAGAATCATAAGGATAGAATACAAATACTTTCCCGTTCTACTGTTACACACATCTTGCTTCAATCAACCACAATATTAGAATATCGTCTTGACCCTAAATATTCTTCATAACATATGCTATGTTTTATAATCAATACTCATCAATCTTCACTACAAATCACTTAGTGATAATCGAATTGTTCGCATACTACCTTTTATCAAATTACCTATATATTCTTCTGTATATATATATAAGATTCCTGCTATGACATTGAACTAAATGATCACTTACTTTTCACAAGTTAGTGATGGTGCTAAACAAATATGTGCATATGTACGCTTTGTAAATTTAATAAATAATATAAGAGAATAGATGTCTTTGTTCATTTTCTTTTCTTTTTTACTATTGTGCCTTTGAGCACAAGCGGTTTGCGTAATTCTATCATCATCAAGCACTAGAAAAAACCTTGATAAAGAAGATATAAATAATAATGAAATTACAAAAGCAATCGGATATAAAATATACGCCGTCATGGATTATAAACTATGCTTCCTAGACATTCATTATTATTATTACATCATAGGCTCTGACACATATATATCTTATGCTCTATCATAATGATGAAATTGACTCTCAACCGAGTAAAATTTTTTTTTTGTTGCCTTTTAAAGAAAAGAAAAATAAACTGTTCGAATAAGTGTTTAAATTATTCAATTGAGAAGCCATTTTGATAATAGAATTGATCAAGAAGAAGAAGAAGAAGACTATGAAATAAGATTTAAAATATTTTAAAATAAACTTAATCAACAAAAAGAAAAATAGATTTCACAAAAGTAAGTGAGTAAAACTTATCTTCTTTATTTTATCTTAGATTTTCATTACGCAAGTTAAGAATAAAAATAAACTATATTGATACAATCGATTACACACATGTCATCTCAAACAAGTAAAAAAATGTCACACATTAAAGCTCACAACAACAACGACGAAAAAAAGAAAATGATTTCATAGCATGTCATATGTTTTTGTTATAATCACTGAAGAGTAGACTAGAGAATAAGACATAGTTGAACAATCGATAAAATGAAGAAATTTAAACTGAATGTATACCGATAAAGATGTCTCATCCAATCCTGTTAAATGAATCAAGATGACCTGTATATATAAATAGATATGAAGGTAGTAATTTGTTCGACAAGTATTCGTTTCTTGTTTTAGATTGTACAGACAGGTTTGTTGATGGTCACGTCATCGTTCATCTATCATCATCAATGTGTTTATATATATATATATATACATATATCTGTTCACCAACATGAATTAGACATTGTATATTTATTCAAAAATAACCACTTATAGAATGTTTGTTGTAAATTCATGCAATAGACTATAGATATTAACTGATGAAGAATGATTTGTTCTTTTAATTATTAGAAACTATTACTTTATCTATGTTGTGATTAGAAATGAGACAAAATATATTGTTCAATTCTTTATAATATATATATTTTTAGATTTGATAAGTTTTCTTTTTTTTTTTACTTTCCTATGCATGTCTTCATTACGAATCTTAATTCTTTATATAATTTTGACAATAAGAATTATTGATAATAAAAATATTTATTTTACACAATCAACTTATGATATATGGTGTCAAGAAAATATTCTATCAAATTCATTATTTCTTTATCCTAATCGAATACGTACAGGTATTTATCATACATCGAATATAAAATCTGTCGTCTATTATCTTATTGATGATAATAATAATCATAATGATTTATTTTATGTTAAAACAAAACGTTTAGGAGACTTTTATTTTTTTATTCTTAATATAACACGACCATTTGATATTAATCGAGAATATCAAGATATTTATATACTTAATATTCAAGCTGATATTATCACTACGGATGGAAATTGGACTGAACAAGCAAAAGTATGTATATTTTTGATTCATAGTTTAGATTATAAATTGCATTATATTCAATAGAATAGAATTTCATTTAGTGAAAGATCAAATTCTATCAGTATAGTTTAATATTTGACAAAAAGTTTGATGATGTCATTTCGACAACTGAATGCATTTATGAAACTAATAGAATCATCATAGGGTGAAATAAGAATCTATATTGATTGACTCTTTTAAGACTATAAATATGACTTTTAGTTGATGATAAACCATATTAAACTTTTATAACAAAACTCTAAATCTTCAGTTATGTAATCTGTAGTCATTCATGCTGCACATAAGAAGACTATCAAATCTATCTATAGGCATAATTTCAAACTAAAACTCTTTGTTTTGTTTAAAAAAGCCTTGCTCTCAGTAAAACAGTTATAACTCTCCATTGAGAGATCTTGAATCTGAATGGTTTTTAAACTGGATTTTAGTCTTATCGAAGCCTACATGTAGAAATAATACAAAGACAAACGAGAAATATTCCTTCGTAAGACTTAGAGTAAGATTCTACAAACTGCATCAGTGATCGAAGGACGAAATCCAAAAGTTTTGAAGACAGCTATTTGACGTTTAAACAAAAATATCTCATTATTTTTCTATTGAAAAATTTTTGTTCTATCAACATTGTATATAAAAATTGTTACTGATATAGCTTTTTTTTTCTCTCCTTCAAGCTGATTGATAATTCTATTTGAATCTTCAAATTTATCTTTTATGATTGAAGAAGTCGGTTATTGAAATGACTTTTTTTTAGACTCAAACGAGCAAGTATTATCATTTGTCTCAAAACTCTGTACTAGAACATTCTTGACGGTTACTAATGCCCATTTCAAAAAAGAATGCCAGTGGGAAGTTTTTTAATAACTTTTGATAGAAACAAGATAGAGAACTGCAGCTTTCATCATTGGAAAGAGGAAATGAAAACGCATCGAATTGTATATTATAAATTTTTCTAAGATTTTCTCTAAAGCTTTCTTGATTAATTTTTTAGAAAACTGCTTTCTCATAAAATAAGAAAAATGCAGAAAAGTGATTTTGTTCGTGAGAATTCATAGAAAAATCTGCTCAGAATTTTAAATAATGTCCCTATAACTTCTGAACGAGTTTGATTATTGTGAATTTATTTTAGTCACCTGTCGAAGTACGTTGATTTTCAAAAGCATTGATTTAAGTCGTTGAAAAAAACTAGATAAATTCATCCTATAATATATAGTTGAATGCGTATTTATCTCCTCTTTCCAATTGATGAAAACCACAGTTCTCTATCTTATTTCTATCAAAAGTTATTCAAAAAAAAATCCCCATCGATCTTCTGTTTTGAAATAAGCATTAGTTGTGAGATACAAAACATACATAAGTAAAGGATTCTATACAATTCTGACTTTTCAGTTTTAAAGACAAAGTTCAATTAGTTTTAGTTTTTTTTTTAAACATTTTCCTTTAGAAAAAAAAAAAACATTTCTCATTTTTTGTTAGATTTATCTTCATGTTGCTGATTCAAATGATAATGATGGAGTATTTGATATGGATATTTATGAAAAAAATTTCACTGAACCTATTGAACTTCAACAATCATTAATAAATTTTCATGCAAGTGATGCTGATGAAATTCAATATGCACAAATTCTTTATGAATTATCATCAACATTTAATGATATATTTTCACTTCATCCATATACAGGTGAATTATATTTAATAACAAATAATAATTTACAATCGATATATGAATTTGATATATATGCATATGATCGTAATCGAAAATATTTAATTAATAATAATAATATAAAAACAAAAGCACATGTTAAATTAAATTTTAATAAAAATAACATTTTTTATCAAATAAAAACAATATATAATGAAAATATTGAATTTAAACAAATAATATCTTCATATAAAATTAAATTTAAAAAAAATTCTTATTGGAATATTTTTAATAATCATCAATCAATATTAATTATTGAAATATATCCTTATATAACATATTTTGAAATATTTCTTTTAAATAATTCATCATTAAATTCAATTAATTTATTTATACAACAAAATAAAATTTATTTAAATAAATATTATTTTGATGAATATAATCTTCAAATTCTTATTTGTTTTTTTAATCGTACAAAATGTCAATATACAAATTATAATATTAATTTTTTAATTGATTGGAATTTATTTGAATTTTATTTTAAAAAAATTCAACCTATTACAATAGAAGAAAATTTACCTATTAATTCATTTATAACATATATACAACTTCAATATAATAATAATATTATTATTAATTATCAACAATTAATTATTAATTATAAATTATTAAATTATCATAAACAATTTAATCTTCATTCAAAAAATGCTATTTTACGTCTTGGTAAATATATAAAAAATCAAAAATATATATTAGATATTCAAGCTGATATTTATTTATTTAATCAAAATTATTCAATAAAAACAAATGTTGAAATAAATATATATGAAATAAATAAATATCGACCTTGTTTTAATAATCAAACATTAATAGAATTATATGAATTACCATATCAATTTCAAACATATGATTATGATGAAAATAAACAAACAAATGGATATATTACATATTATTTATCAAATTGTTTTAAAGATTGTCCGTTTGAAATTAATTCAAATAATGGAATATTAAATTTAAAAAAACAAAAAAATTTTATTAAAGAACATATTTATTATTTACAAATAATTGTATTTGATTGGGGTGAACCTATAAGTTTTGAAACAAAAATTGATATAAAAATTGATTTATCATCAAAATTAATTAAACGAAATTTAATAAGAAAAAAATCAGATATGAAAATATCAAAAAATCAATCAATATCATCATCATTAATAATACCAGAACAAAGGTTAGATTCTTATTTAGTTTTATGGTTTAAAAGAATTTTTCAAATAGCCACAAGTACGAACAAAAGTATAAACATAGAAAACCTATTCGATCTAATATGTAGTTAGAATAGTTGGTTGTAAACTCAAAAAGAAGTAAAGTTAGTTAACTGAAAATTCGCTCTTCGGATGAATAAAGCAATACCATATGATCGGTCGTGCTCTATCAAGAGCTTTACAACATCTACCTTAATTTTCAATACCTCTATTTTCTTGTATTGTCTGTTTAAAAAAATAATGATGGTGGTCATTTTTGCAATAACTCAAGAAAGGAAAGAGTATAGAACGAAATCATTTTAAAATCAATTATTTCTGCAAAAGATCCATGAAAACGATCTGTCGTTCTGATGAAATTTTGATTTTGAGATATGATTTGCATACAGAAAATTTAGATCTATAGTTTAAGATATAATTTGAATCATCATCGTTCATGCATTATAATGTTAAGCAAATCAAATTCTTTATTTACTCCCTCGAAAAGTATGAATTTCTCTTGATTTGTAAACAAATTTTCTTACTTTTTGTCAAAATTTCATATGAACGACAGATCATTTTTGTGCCTTTTTTTTTGATGTTTTGTAAAAACGTTTGATTTTAAAATGATTTCGTCTTATACAATATTAAAGAAAAAGATGCTCTAGTATCGTCTCTTTCGATTAGTGAAAACCGCAGGTTCTTGAGTTATTCCAAAAAATAGCCACGATCATCATTACAACAGTCGCAGTATTCTCTCATACACAGGGAACATTTCCTAGTGATACTAGAAAAAGTCTAATATGATAAGAACTAATAGGTGGTTAATCTCAAGTTATGAGCATAGCATACACATCCTTATTCTATTAGGCCTTTCTAGTTTCACTGGATCCTATTTACAGTACAAATGTCAATGCAAACACTCTAAACCACTTGAGGTGGTCCTCTCATCAATATTCTTGTTATTAGAAGCTCTATGATTTAGTTTTTTTTATGAGCTGATTATGGTCATATATGATCGTCTATTTAATTTTGCATTTGAAATACCTCAAGAAATAATTTCACACTATTGTTTTTGTATAATTAGATATTATTCGGCATTATCTTCAAATACAAAGACTATTTATCTTAATATTGGTTTTAATCAAAATTCAACATCTTATCATGTTCCAGAAGATTCTGAAATAAATACAATCATTGATCGTTTAAAAATTGTCTATGACTCTTTTCCTTTATTTATTAATGATGAAAAAGATAATCTTTTTTTCTATATAATTAATGATACATCAGTACCATTTACAATTGATCAAAATGAAAAAACAATTAAATTAATAATTCCTCTTGATCGTGAAAAACAAGATCAATATACATTTGAAATTGAATTACAATTAAAATCTACTTATGCAATGAAATTACAAGAAATATATAGTTTTCAAGAGAAAAATTCATCATCATTTTATTTTCAATATTCAAATAAATATTATCAAAAAATATTTATCACAATTTATATTGATGATATTAATGATAATATTCCAATATGTAATTATTTTCATAAACATATTTATTTAAATGAAAATAAAATACAAACAAATATTTTTCATGTTCAAGCAATTGATCTTGATCAAGGTAAATTTTATTTCATTTGTATTTTTTTTTTTTTGTTGTAATATATAATCTTAGTAAATAGGTGAAAATGGTACAATATTTTATTCATTACTTGATTATAATCAATATTTTACAATTAATCCTTATAGTGGACAAATTGATTCTATTCAACCCATTGATCGTGAACAAATACCTTTTCTTCTATTACATATCATTGCTTCAGATCAAGGTCAACAACTACAATTACAATCAATTTGTATGACATTACATATTACAATAGTTGATATCAATGATAATGTTCCTCAATTTTCATTAACTAATTATACTTACTATCTTTTTTCTGATTTACCACGAGACACAATATTTGGTCAAATTTATGCAATAGATTTAGATTCAGCAGATAATCTAATTTATTCCATTGATCCAAATTCATATGTTAAAATACATCGACATAGTGGTCATCTTCGATTGAAATATAATCTATATCATATGATTGATCAAAACATAAATATTACAGTTAAAGTATCCGATGGTTTACATGTAAATTATACATGGATTTATATTTATGTCATACGTTTTATAGAAATACAAGAACCTATTCTTTTACGTCAACCAGCTTATGATATAATAATTAATCAATCTTTACCAATTGGAACTATTGTTGTAAATGTTTATGAACATTTACAACTTTTAGAATCATCTATTGATTTTATTGATATAATTCATGAAGAAAATATAATACCATTTTCTATCGATCAACAAGGTATTCTTGTGTGATAAAGTTAACTGTAATATACTGTATGCTTCTGACGGAATTTTACTAAATGATAAATCACTATTGAGATAATTCTTCTTTAGTTAGAAAGGTTTATTTGATCCTAATAGCTCCGATACCAATATTGAAAACTCTGTTATATGAAACAGCAAAGTTTATTCTTGTATTCATATTAGAGATATCCATCGCGGCTGAGGATCTGCCGCTATAGTTTTCAAAAAAAATGCTATAATTTTTCTGACTGTGACTGATGCCAACTAGAACTGCTATTCTTAATCGATCATATTCGTTAAGTCTTACAGTATGGCACAGATTAACGTCAAGATTCTGTTTTAATTCATGAATTTTTGAAGTTTCTTCCTAAAAAAAGCTGCCGTCATGAGCATCTCTGATTCATATGTCCAAATAGTCTTTAGACTTAATCGAGTCTACTTAATGAAATAAGATTCATTTCGAAAGCAGTTCATCATTTAGTAAGATTTCTGTATGAATAGAGAAGTCCTAGACTTTCCATTTCTTCCGATTCGTTCTCATATTGATTCATTTTGAAAAAAAAACTAGAAACCCAATACTAATAATCCATCAAATATTCATTTGATAAGTATTTCTCGACAATTTTTTTTTATATCCTTAAGTTGATGATATGAACGAGTGACTTTCAATGATGTTCGAAGTGAAATCTAAAATTTTATTTAGGTTCTATTCGTCTTATACGTTCATTAATTGATTTATCTAATGCATCTTATTGGCTTTCAATACGTTTAACACGTTATCGTGCTCATCCACCACATTCATTTGTTCATATTCATATATCAATTCTAGAAGAAAATTTCTATTTACCACAATGTATAGATATTTATCAAAATATAAAAATTTATGATTATTCAATTCAATCAACATTAACTTATATACAAGCATTATCATTCTATGATAATATTGATCTTCAATATTCAATAGTAAATAATGATATAAATGAAAAAATATTTTCTATTAATAAACAAACAGGTTCTATTCAATTATTATCATCAATTCAAAATAATTATTTATTAACAATACAAGCTTTAGATAATCAACATCAAGTATATGTTAATTGTTATTTAGATATTAATCTTATTCAACGACAACAATTAATACCAAAATTTTTATATTCATCAACATATAATATTGATTTAATAGAAATTTCATCTAATAGTAAACGATTAAGACAACGTTTATTTCAAATTATTGCTTTATTAGATCATGAAATATATGATAAAAATCTTGAAATACGTTATCAAATCATTAATTCAAATCAATATTTTATTATTAATCGTCGAACTGGTTATATAGCTTCCAAACAAATATTATATCCTAACAAAACCTATGAATTTAAAGTAAGGAAAAATACTTCATAATAATCATAATACATAACGATATATACAACTAATTAATCACTTTTCTTAATTAGTACATCAACAACTCTTTTTTTTTAAAGGAATAAAAAGAATTCTTAGTATTTGATTAAGTATTCATTCAAAAAGTAATACATATATCGAAACGAAAAGAGTTTAGATCATCTAGATCCTTATCTCGTAAACATCCATCTTACAAAGCATGAAAAACATTCAAATAGATACATAGATGTCTTCATCCACTGTCTGTTTAGTTTTGTTAATTCGAATTATAAGTTTCAATTAAAACTTTAGCATAAAATTTTACATCTTTCGAAAAATCGACAAATATGTAAGTAGAAAAGGAAATTACAATGACGGATATTTTACTATGAGTATAGTTGCTTGATGCTATTCGATTTAATGTGTGTCTGTTAGTGTTACTATCCTGACTATTTCTAATAAATAAATAAAAAAAAAATTATTGTGAAATAGGTTGAAGCATTTACTGTTGCATATCGTGATGATATTGAACAAGATGAACATTCAAGTCGTAATAAATGGCGTATTGTTTCATCTCGAGTTATATTACCAATAAAAATTCGTGTACTACCAATAAATATCATTGATTCTTCATTATCATTAAATAATGAATCAATTATTAATATTAATTTATTAACAACAACAAAAGTTGGTTCAATATTAACACAACTTAAAATAAATAATTATAATTATACACAATGGTTTATTATGATAGGTCATATGGATTATACACGTTATTTTCATATAAATTTTCAATCTGGTGAACTTATTCTTATTCGTCCTATTAATGAATTAATGAATAAAACAACAATAATTGAATTACCGATTAATATAACTAATAATTGGATTCATATGAATACAATTAAAGTAAATTTTTCTATTTCATTTTTGTGAATCTTACATTATGTTATTCAAAAGAACAATATAGTGTATATAGTACACTAGACCAAAAGGTCGGAAATCCATACTGACACTGAACTAACAAATTGTCGTACTATTTCATATGTAGATAGTGATTTTATGACACATCGTCTATGAAATAATAGAAGCAAAAAAATAAATAAGAGACATCAGTGTCTTCTTAACTTATTGAGATATATAATAGTATGTTGAGATCTACTGTAGATTTAACGGATATGTACAACAGGCTTATTTGCTAATCAAATCAATGATTAGAACAATAATAATGTTAAATTAAGTAATACGAAAATGAAAAGTAACGATTAAATAGCAACAAAATAAACTAAAAGTTTCATTCTAAATGCAGAAATGAATAACACAGATAAGTCTGCTAGAGATTTTTCATCTAAAATATGATAAGATACAAGAACATATGTAAGTTTCATATTTTAACTTCAAAATAGTTGCACTAACCAGTTTTTTTTTATTCATTCATTTATTATAGGTTATTATTCATATTATAAATGATAAACGTTCATTAATTTATTTTTCTCAAACAGATTATTATATTTCTATATTAAAAAATATTCCAATTGATACTAAAATAACACGTTTAACTATTGAAAATTCATTTGATAATTGTACATATAATATTCATTCAGTTGAAAGAATTCAATCAAAAGATTTATTCCATATTGATTCATATACAGGTTTAATAACTAATATTCAAACATTAGAAAAATCTATGAATAAAAAACATTTATTAATTATTATTTATTATTGTAAAAATATATCTCAAATAGCTTATACACGTTTACATATTAATATTCTTGATAAAGAACAATTAAAAAATCAAACAAACAATTCATATCGATTTACTCAAGATAATTATTTAGTTATATTTGAAACATCATTAATAAGTAATCAAAAAAAATATTTAATTGATTTGGAATTAATAAATAATAATCATTATGAAAAAAGAATTAAACCAGATGCTCAAATTATTGAAGGTAAAAATAAAATGATTCTATTCGACATTTATTATTAATTGTCTAACGAGGGAATCTTTCCAAGTGTTAATTGCAGATCGAGCTCATAAGTCAGACTCGATGAGAAAACCAGTAAAACGGTTGTAACTCCGGGCGGACAGAGTATGGGAGCCAGAGATGTCCATCGCGGATCAAAATCTGCCGCTGCCGCGCCGCGGCCAAAATCAAACAAAGCTGCCGCGCCGCTCCCGCGACGCGATGGCCTGTTAAAAAAAGCTACCGCGCCGCTGCCGCGGTGGTATTCGAAAAAATGTTTTGATTTTCAAGGCTTTGGCTGGTTTGAAATAGAACTGATGCCGCTAATCGATCAGATTCGCTAAGTCTTACAGTATAGCATACATAAACATGCAGATTCTGTGCAAATTCATGAATTTTTGAAATTTTTTCCTAAAAACCTGCCGCCGCCGCGCCGCTGCCGCGACGGCAAAATAAAAATCTCTCCCGCGCCGCTACCGCGCCGCGATAGTTTTTGAAAAAATCTACCGCTGCTGCGCCGCCACCGCCACGGCGGCAGCGGCGCGATGGACATCTCTGATGGGAACGAATCCTCTCGGGTTTCTGCTAGTCTTATTGAGTCTGACTTATGAGCTTGATCTGCGATTAACACTTGGAAAGGTACCCTCGTAAGTGATCATCATGTTTTATTGTGATAGGATTTTGAGTTTCACATAAGTTAGTGCGAGGAATTCGAGTTTGTGATCAAAAAGGTCACTGAAATTGATGTAATCATTCAATTACTAATTTAATAATTAGAATGTTTTTTTGTTTTTATCAAATCCGTTATTTTTTTTTTTGTTAGGTGATCCATTAGGTTTATTTTCTATTGATTCATCCAATCAATCTTTACTTATTCTTGATGAATCTCGTTCTCGTTCATATATTTATCCAATTGAATTAATTATAATTGATACATCACAAATAAAACCTATCTATTGTATTGTAACTATATTTATATCAAATATTGGTATACAATTTACTTGTCCATTTAATCTAAATACTTCTCCATATCTTTTTACATATAAATCAATACCTACACATAGTATTGATCCATTAACTGGTCAACAATATGATTATTATGATTCTTTAACTATTTATGGATTTGATACATTTACAACTTCAAATATTGCTAAATGTATTATTGATACTGAAATAAAATATTCTAATGAAATAAATGATTTCGTATTTGAAAAAGAACTTTATTATGGTTATATTAATAGATCATTAGATTCTATATCATTTGTATATTACAATGACGAACCAATTTATTTATCAATAAAAAATCGAAATCAATATTTAAATTCATTTAATATAACTTATCAATTAATTAATCAAACAAATATAAATTTATTTGAATTAGATCAATATGCTGGAATAATAAAATATATTGAAAAAAATAATACATTTATTAAATATTCACTTCTTATTCTTGCTAGATATGAAAATTTAATAACATTTACACGTTTAAATATTTTTATAAATGATGATAAACAATTATTGTATAAATTTATATTATATAAACCATTTATTAATAATTATACAATTGGATATTTAAATGAAAGGAATTTAAATTTAAAAATTTTAAATAAAAAATTATCAACAATGTTTTCAATTGATAATAATAATGGACGATTATTTATTAAAAATCAAACATTAATTTTATTAAATGGAAATTTTTATAATTTTCTTATTGGAAAATTTCATATTCAAATAAATATATTATCAAAAGAAATAATTCAATGTTCATTAAATAGATTTTATTTACCAATAGATAATCAATTAATTGGTTTTATTGAAATTTTAAATACAAATAAAAATTATTTAAAAAAACGATCATTTTATCTTTTAAATTATAATCATTTATTTATACTCGAACGTGAACATGGTTATTTACGTTATCGTAATCAAAATCAATTAATTATGAATGATTTAATACTTTTAATTGAAATTGAACATTCACGTTGTTTAATTACAATGCGTGGATTTTCATCAATACCTTACATGATGATTAGACAAGGAAATAATTTAAATATGGAAATTGAAAAATTAATGGATTATAAAAAGGTATAGAATATTAATGTTTGAAATCAATATATATGAAAGTTAATAAAGATTATTATGACATTTTATTAAAGTCAATCGGATTCAGAAATTCAGCGAAACGATGGGCTCTAATTATTGTACTTAAGGAGGAATGCCTTTAATTATCTAACCGCTTTTTTCCATCAAATGTAATCGGTTATAGATAATCAATTATGCTGATTCTAAATATCAATACAAGACCGTCAGCTAGTATGCTAGAGATCTGTTTTCTGGAAAGTCAAGTTTTGTCGAAAAACTTTTTTGATCTATTCAGAGTGTAGAGCACGTTAAATTGACTACGAAACATTAATTTTCCTTTTGGAAACTATTATTGAAATCATCAGAAATAGAATTCTTTATTTTTGTCAAATTTTTAATAGAAAAAAAAAATCTTCTCATGTCAAGGTATTGAATTTCTCAAAAAAAGAAACATTTTGATTATGTGCAACTTTTAGGGTATGCTCTATATAGATCATTGAAACCGTACATGAGTAAAGTTTTACGTCGGAATTTTACTTTATGATTTTTTTGGTATATACATAAAGTTGGGTCAAAAATTCAGTAAACCATCCATAGCTCGACTTTAAAGTGTTGGACATGAGTTCGGTCCTCTAGGAAAATTGATTTTTCGAATTTCTACTTAAACTTTTGCATTGAGACAACTCTTACGGAACATAGTTTATTGCTTAAGCTTTAGATCTTTTCGTCGTTCATATCCTAAGGTACAACTATGATAAAATTATTTCTTTTACATCACTCTTATACACCGATAGATTCCATACTCTTATTTCAGGATAGGGACAAAGCAAAAAGTCTAAATTTTTGACCATAAATTATTGTTGTTACGGTCTATCTCTACACAAAGTTTCAAGTCGAAATTCAAAAATCAGTTTTCCTGAAGGAAGATCTTCGGGTGGAGTTAAAGAAACTGAAAAAGTACAATATCTTCACAGCAATAAGCTTAGGGTCCGAACTCCTTTTAGAATATTCATAGTTTATTAGAATCTATATGATACACGTAATCGTACTCAATAGCAATTGAGTTATTTCAGAGAGCTAAATATTCTCTTTTTATCTCCTGTTAACAGTCCTCTGGTCAAATTCAACTTCGCAATGGTTTATTAATCAATTTTGATATTATTCCAAGTCAAGCTCCTATATTTTCTCAAAAATTCTATAAATTTTCACTTGATATTACTAATAATACAAATAAAAAAATATTTATCGGTCAAATAAATGCTCAACCATATAATATAAATCGAAGTCATCTTATCTATGAATTTATTTTATCAACAAAATATTTTATTATTGATCCAGATAATGGTATTATTGAATATATTTCAAATAAATATATAAATCAAACAATAATAGAACATAATCAAATTATTGTTCGTGATTTAATTTATCAACAAAATACAACAATTAATATAACAATTCATCTATATAAATCCGAATTAATCTCCTTCACATCTCAAATTTATTATTTAACAATATCAGAAATTCTTCTACCTGGTTCCATTATATTTCAATCAAATATATCTAATATAGAAAATCTTCAATTTTCATTACAAGATTATAACATTGATCTTTTTACAATTGATTCAAATACTGGACAAGTAACTCTTGTTAATTATTTATCTAATCAATTTTATTCATTTAAAATTTATGTATCTCCAATTAATAAAATATTTATCATTAAATTAACTATTCTTAATTATAATAATCATCGTCCACTATTTGTAAATCTTCCATTAAATCTAACAATATCATCTGATGATATATTTGTAACAAAATTATCTGCTTATGATCTTGATTTAGATGATAATGAAAATTTAAAATATTATCTTCTTGATAAAGATCAACAAAAATTTTTTTCAATTAATAATAAAACTGGAATAATTATACAAAAATTTTTTTTAAATCAAACATTTTTTAAATTAAAAATTGGTGTTAGTGATGGTTTATATCTAACAATAAATTATCTATCAATAACTATTTATAATTATTGGAAACATAGTCCAAAATTTTCTTCAAATAATTATATATTTCAATATAATAATAAAATTCTTGGACAAATATCAGCATATGATTTAGATCATAATGATCGAATTATTTATAAACTTTATCTTGAACCAGATGGAATTTATATTGATAAATATACAGGTTTAATTACAATTCATAAAGATTTATTTCCTCAAAAAATTGAATTTTTTGCATCAGCATCTGATTATGTACAACAAATAGTTTATACAAAAATTCAAATTCATTTTTTAATTCAACCAAAATTTACTTCAAATTTATATTTTATATCTTTAAATACATCATTAAATATTCCATCAGAAATATTTCATTTAAAACTTGTTGATTCAATAAATCAACCATTATCATTAACAAAATTTAAAATTGATCAAATAAATTTTTTTGAAATAAATCAAAATAAATTAATTTTAAAAAAACAATTAAATCCATTAAAAATTTATTATTTTAATATATATGGTTATTGGAAAAATTATACATGTCAAACATCAATACAAATAAATTATGTTAATCAAATATATAAATTAAATAAAAATTTTTATGAATTTTTAATTGAAAAAAATTTATTAAAAAATAATTATTTAATTAAAAAATTTCATATAAAAAAAAATTCTATTTTAATTATTACTTCAACACCATTAACAAGAAATAATTGTATAGAAAATTTTTATATTAAAGAAAATAAATTATTTTTTAAAAATTATCCTATTCTATCTGATTTATGTTTTTTTGAAATACAATTATCAAATGAAAAATCAATATCTTCAAGTCAAATTAAAATTTTATTTATTCATTTATATATGAAACCAAAATTTTCATCGAATATTTATTATTTTTATACAAATAATATTCGTGTTTTTGCAAAAAGTTTAAATAGTATTCGATATAAATTACAAACAAATTCATATGGTTTATTTATTAATCAAACTAATGGTATTATATCATTTAATTATGATTTAGATAGAATGAAAAAATTTCATCATATTCAATTAGAAGTTTATGCTATTGATGAAAAAACATATTTAAATGATACAGCATTGATTCATATTAGATTTAATAAACAAAAATCATTTGATATACCAATGATAATTCCATTATGTTCAAATACACCAATTTCAATTTCAGATCAAACTTCATCGGGTAACTTTATAGGCTCATAAATTTTGAAGAAATAATCTATCGGAACGAGAAATTCTCATAAATGAAGTATACAGTAGCTCCAAAAATTAATCGTATAATTTGATTTCTATTTTTGTTTGTAATAGTAATATTCTAAGTAGTAGCTTGTATAGAGAAAATTGTTTGAGACAAGGATTGGAGGAAAATCAAGTCTTTGCAAAATTACCTAAACCTAACTTTTTAGGACTTAGAGCTCGAAAGAAGTTTTCCTTGTTATTTCGCAGAGATATAGGACGATTGACTCTTTATAAAATGACACGTCTCCGAGATTTAAATGACATTTTTGGTGAAACCTATATCAATATTAAGAAACGTTCAAAAGTAGTTTTTTCGTTGTTTCCTCAAGGAAAACTGGTCAAGATGGACTTCAGTTTATATCATTCAGTCAAAAAACTGTTTTAGAGAGCTCGGACATGTATGATTTTGTAGAGAGTTGCTCGATTATCCTGTGTAGTCAACTGAAGTTTTTATTTTCATATTCCGAGTATTGAAAAACAACGTTTGAGATTTTATAAACATCTTGAATTTTGGGAATATTATGTAGATTTTATTTTTTCGAAAACATTATTAGAAACAATTATCTATATCCAAATGATTGCCATTACGAGAAAAATCCTAATTAAATTTATATCATCAGTTTTTAGAGTCATTGTATGCCCAAGTCAAATAATAATTTCCAGAGCTTTTCAGAATCGTAAAAATTTCACTCCATTGCTGATTTCGGAGAGAGAAAGAGGTTCATGTATCAGAACGAAGTGTTATTCATATACATTCTGTAATCTTATATAAACAATGTCTATAACATTTGTGAAAGCTCTACATAAGAGAGCGGTCAGGTAAAGTTTTTCGTCCTACTCTGTGTCCCTAACTGAGAACAATCTTCTTACTCTATCTTGTCCGATAAAAGTAGCGGTTTTTGGATGTGAGTGTTGTCATAATCATTATCTCCACTCGATGAAACCTCCATTCACACCAACCCATAGAACGATGAAACTTTGATACATCACAGTTTTTTTATGTATTTTCTCAGGTACAATCATTCAAAACATCGATCTGAAGAATAACAATTCAAATCATTATTATATTCTATCCGGAGATAAATATAATTTGTTTACTATAAATAATTTCGGTCAAATCTATTTAAACTCATCAATGCTCAATAGAACATCTGAGGAATATTTTGATTTAGTTATTCTGATATCATCTCTATCAATATCTTATTGTCATACTAATATATCAATAATTCGATCACCGAATTGGTCTTATTTTATTTGTCCTGTAGTGAGTAAAATTTTGATGTTTTTGTTTAATAAAAATCTAAATATTTATTTATTTATTTTAGATGCCAATAGAATGGATGATTGAAGAAGAATCTCCTATTGGTACAAAAATAGGTAATATTAAAGAAATATTATTCATGATAAATAATAATTCTCAATTAATTGAAAAAATTCAAATGAAATTAAATAATAATATTGATACACAAACATTTCATTTAAATTCTTCAACAGGTATATTAATATCTAAATTTCGTCTTGATTATGAACAAAAACATATTTATTCATTTTCAATTATACTTGAACCTAATGAAATTCATTGTTTATTGACAATATTAATTAAATTAATAAATATTAATGATAATTTAATAGAATTTGATAAAAAATCATTAATATATAATATTAATGAAAATAATCTTATACCATTATATATTGGTCGTATAAAAATAATTGATCATGATCAATTATTTTCATTTAAATATAAATATTATCTTAAAAATATTTCATCACAAATTTCAATTGATTTAACAACTGGTTCAATTATTTTATTTGATAAATTTGATCGAGAAATTCATGGTGAAAAATTACAATATGAAATTATTTTATTAGATTATATTAATCAAAAAAATTTAACAAATAATTTAATAATTAATATTAATGATTTAAATGATCATGGACCAATATTTGAAAAAGATTTTTATCATATAAATATAAATAAATCTAGTCAACCTGGAAAATTTATATTTCAAATAAATGCAACAAGTTATGATCCAATAATGAATGGAAATATAAGTTATTATTTAAGAAATTCTTCATCTATTTTTTCAATTAATAAATATACAGGAAATATTTATTTAAATGAATATATTTCAACAATAATAGAAAATTTTACATTAATTATTGAAGCTATTGAAGATGGTATTAATTTAACTGATCGAACAAATATTTTTATATCGATTATAAATGATGACTATATTTATTTTCAATTAGATAAACAAAATCAATGTTTTCTTGATGAAAATGAACCAAGTGGTACAATAATTTGTACAATAGGAAAAAATTCAATTGATTTTATTTATTATTTATATGATCCAATGAATTTATTTGATATTTTATCAAATAATGCAACAATTATTAATCGAAAAATATTTGATTATGAAATAGATAAACATGAATATAACGTGACAATTATTGTACAAGATCGAAAGAATCAGGTACGAAAGAAAGTCTTAAAGAAATATTGAGCATGAACGCGGATGTACCAGTTTCAGAGTTACCGGGCTATCTGTTTATCAGTCATAGACTGACAAGTGAACAAAAGGATGCATAGAGGAACTAAATAATAATCAATTTTCTTAGAATAATGATTAGTAGAAGAATAATAAATGTGTACTAAGCGAGAACTAGAACTGCTATATATTAATCAATTTTCACTACCGCATAACAACAAAATTTATTAATCTAATTTTCTGAAATCTAAATAAGTTTTTCTATCAGTCTTTGTAATGATTCGTCCTACTTTGGTCGAAAGTAACAATGTTAAAAACTGAAGTTAACACTTCTGAACATGAGAAAATTAAAAGAAAGCAAACAGCTTAATTCCAAACAAATGTTTATTATTTAAAAAGAAAGAATGACATATAACAAAAAGGTTTTAAATAGCGATTAATTGACATTAAATAATTTTCCTTTTGAAGGTGTGAGTGTGGGCACGGGTGTGAAAGTAAATGAACGATTCAGAGCCACCACATCAACATCCACAACTAGCTTAGCCGCCGCCGCAACAAAATCGTAGATAATTTTATGAATTTTTTAGGCGCTGTCACTGAGAAAAACTTAGTTCAGCCGCTACGCCGCCGGCACGAACGAAATTTTTTGATAATGATATGAGGCGTCGCCGCCGTTGACATCGATACATATGCGATCGGCCATTTTTTCGTCTTTTAGGAATAAAAACGTTTTTTTGTTTTGTTTGTCAAAGCCGCCGCTATGGAAAAAAATTTGACCATTCAAACCGCCGCCGCCGCTGTTTGATCCTTCGGCTTGCACTTCTATCCACAACCGCACGCCCTCACCCATACAAGGCTAACAAATTTAGCTTGATAGATCCGTTTTTAATCTTATCTTCTATCGACCATTAAGATACATGTCTAGATATGATTTGAATATTTTTAGTCAAGTTACAAGTACAATTCGACTTAGATTTCATAATAGACAAAAAAAAAAAGTCATGCTATCTCTTAAGCAAAAAAAAATTTTCTATTTAGTCTATTTTATTATCTTCTATAAATGTTACTATATATATTCGTAATTTAAATGATAATCCTCCAGAATTTTTAACAAAAAATTTTACAAAACTTTTATATTTTTATTATCCATTGATAAATACAATACTTTATAAAATTGAATTTATTGATAAAGATCAATCAAATTTAACTTATGAAATTATTAATGATATTTTTACAAGTTATACACTTCATACATATAAAAATATTATTGAACTTATTCTTATTAAATCTATTATTCATAATCATGAAGATAATTTAATTATTCGTATATGGGATGATAAAAAAATTTTTTCAGATTTAAATCTTAATATAAATTATTTTCAATATAATATTGAATATCCAAAAATTTTATTACAAAAAATTGATGGTTATATAAATTTTGAAGAAAATTTTTTTACAATTAATCTTGGTCAATTATTTATTGAAAATCATTCAAAATATCAATTTATTTATTTTAATTTAATATCAAATAAAAATTTTTTTCTAAAACAATTAACAAATAATCAAACTGAACTTTATTATAAATCTTTTCATCAAATATCTTCTATTGAATATCAAATTTATTTAATTTCTATAGCTATAAAAGAATTTATACCTGAAATTATTTTTCATAATAATAATAATCATACAAAAATTTTTTTTCCATCAATAGAAAAATTACAAACAATTAATATTCATTTTTTACCTATCTATCGTGAAATGTTAAATCAAACAATATCATTAATAATAAATATAAATTCTAATATAACATATGAACAATTTATTAATGATAATTTACCAATAATACGACAAAATTTAGCTCAAATTATTAATGTACATATAAATCATGTTCATATTTATACATATGAATTAAAACAAAAACAAATTGAATTATTAATTGCTATATTAGATTCAACAATGAATAATTATATAAATAAAGAAATTCTTTATAATAAATTAAAAAATTCAAAAAATCTTTTTGATAAAATTCTTTTTAATCAATGTCAATTAAATTCATGTGAAAATAATGGTTATTGTACTAGTTATATTAGTTTATTATATAATCAATATGAATATATTTATTATAATACATATCAACGTTTAATACCAAAATATCAATGGAATATAAAATGTTTATGTAAAAATAATTATTATGGAGAACGTTGTCAATTTAAATATACTAAAAAATCACCATGTTCATCAAATCCTTGTTTATCAATAGAAAAATGTATTGAAGAAAATTCAACAACATATTCATGTCAATGTATAGATGAATTATGTAATTATAATAATATTCTTAAGAATAATTCATTTCAATGTATTAATATCAATTCACCAATATGTCGAAGTGAGTTTTATTTGATGAATCTCTATCTGAATTACAATATTCCTATTGATAATAATTTCATATATATATTAATAGTAGCAGCCAATTAATAGATATATCATTTTGATTGAATATCAATTCGATAGGCGATTTGTCAAACAAGTCATCTATCCTTCTCGATATTAGTCCGATTTCATACTAGTTCGACAGAATACTAATTCCTTGGGATTGGCACATATCTACCTCAAAGATTTTCAACCAATTGAAAATCATCTATTCGTAATTATTGTACAAGAATTTTACTTTTATACATTTTGAAGTCCACGCCCATGAATACACTGAACAAAGAAAGTTTCAAGGCATACTTCAATGAACCTTGATTTTTTAAAACTTTTTATTCATGGTCAAGTTCAAGATCTTTCTGTTCGAGAACGAAAAGTCATAGTCGTATGTTTCAGTGCCTAAGTTTTATCGTAGAAAGCAGAGATGTCCATCACGACTGAGAATCTGCCACTGCCGCTGCCATTGTGGCAGCGCGGTAGGACCACCGTGGATCAGAGTTGGAACCGATCCGGTCGGACCGGACAAGAAGTTAAACCGGGCCGGACAGGACCGGATTTTTGCCAGTTCATCATTACAAAATTGGTTTTTGCATCCAAGAATTTTCTCTACTGAAAACGGTTTTTTTATGATGTTTTCAATTCAGAAGAATGAGTTTGCGAAAAACTCGATAGATATCTTATCGTCTATTTGAATATAAACGATTGATTGTTCTCTTTATATCTCTATCGTTTTCTTTCTTGTGTATCGCTCAGTTGATCAAATAATTTATTCTCTTGTTCTATTCAGGCAGCTGCCTGAATCAAGAAAAATAAATATTTACATTTTTGTGTTAGATTTTTGTTATAAATTTGTTTTTTTTTTCATTTTTGAAATTAAGATGAAAAACAGATTTGATCTGAATAACTAATTTATATCGATGTCGGGCTCGAAAAGTCGACGCACCTTGCTATAAAATATGAAAGGAGAGTTTAGTTTCCAGTTCGAATTAGGAATGACGATTTGCTATTAATTTATTATAATTTTAAATTGGATCTACATAAATTTAAATTTTGTAAAATTTTTAAATTCAAAATAAATAAAACTTTTTAAAATTTATTTTTGGGTTTATAAATTTTCCGTAAATGTAAATTGATCAATTCCTAGTTCAGATTTCTGCATGTGAATATTCAATTCATCTCCACCAACATTTTATTTAAACAGATACTTTTATGGTCGTTTATTTTCCTCGGATTTTTGCCACATTGGCTGTAAAATTTGCCCGGTCGGTTGCTGGTCGGACAGGACAGATTTTTTTACCGGCCGGACCAGACCGGACAGAAAATAACGATTGTCATTTCTCAATGATTTAAAATATTGGCAAGAATCAACAGGGTTGACTTAAGTTTAGCCATAATAATATCATTTATTTTTGTCAGATGAAAAGCAAGTGAGTTTTATAACATTTCAATAAAAGAATATAGAAAAGTTTAACCATCATATAAAATTCTACGGATAGACTCTACTGACTTAGTTTGTGATCGGTTTGAATATTATTAATTTATTTAGATTCATCAAATACATTAACTTTTAATGGTAATAGTTTAATTCAAATGAATTTAACTATGAATATAACACAACAAATGAAAATAACATTAAGTTTTCGTACATATTCAAATAAAAGTCAATTATTTAAATTAATTTATTTGAATGAAAAAACTAAAATATTTCATTCAATAATTTTAAAAATTATTAATGGTTATATTAATATTGAATTTGATGAAAAAATTCTCTTAGAATTAAATCAAACATTAATTAATGATGGTTTATGGCATGATATTTATTTTTCAATAGATTATATTCATAAATATTATCTTATTCGACTTGATCATATATTTAGTACTAAAATAATATTATTACAACAAATTTATTCAAATAATCTTAAACAATTAATAATTGGTATTGATTTTAAAGGTTGTTTAGGTAATTTAACATTAAATAATCAAATAATATTTTTTCAACAACAAACAAATAATAATAATAATTTAATTGAATTTATTAATATAAATAATAATTGTCTATCATTTGAAATTATTCAAGAACATTTTCATACGAATGATTTTTGTTCATTATATCATCCATGTTATCATGGTGGAATATGTATGAATTATGGATTAAATTTTAAATGTAATTGTTCAAAACCACGTTTTACTGGTCGTCAATGTCAATTAGATTTATATCCTTGTGAAAGTTATCCATGTCAATATGATGAAAAATGTATACCATTATTATCAAATTCAAATAAATCATTTAAATGTGTTGCTATATCAGTTATTTCTTTATCAATATCAATAAAAAGATATGTACTTATTGGATTAATTATTACATTGATTATATGTATTTTATTAATATTAATTATTTATTATTATAAAAAACGAAAAGAAAATTTTATTAATGATAAACCATTAGTTTCAGCACCATTACTTATACATAAACAATCATCAATAACAAATCATATTGAAAGTTCAAGACAAAGATTACTTAAATTAAATTATAATGAAACACAAACTAATGAAACTATAACATTTGGAGAGAATAATCATAGAAATCCGATAATAAATTATTTAAATAATAGAGTAAGATTAAAGATTATTATTGAAAAATCTAAAACTAAATATACTTTAAAATTGAAGAAAAGCAACTGGACTAAATCTACCCAAACAGTTCTCTCTCTATATATATATATGATATTTGAAATTAGAATTATAATCTTTCTATCTTTCCGAATAATTTTACCGGCATACGGTGTTATCTATAGCTTAATATTTTTCTTACGAGGGAACCATCCGAGGTGTCAAAAAGCTTTTGAGCACAAGTAGGGGATGCATAGACTAGAAAAAGCCTAAAAGGATATGGGCCCAAGTTGGGATTTGACTGAGATATCGACTATTTACCATAATTTTCCTATAGGATCCTACTTGTCCGATAAAATCAAAGTTTTGAATTTAGGTCTGAAACTTTGTCCGCACCAAGGTCCCAATCAGACAAGCTCGCCTACAAAGTTTCAGAACTCTTGGATAGACTATCCCCAAGATATGAATCTGCCAAAATATCTATGTGAAACATTATATCCATAAAAAAGCGTCTTTATGCTAACATACTAGTATCTCGGAGATAGTCTATCCCAGAGTTCTGAAACTTTGTAGGCAAGCTTGTCTGATTGGGGCCTTGGTGTGGACAAAGTTTGAGGCCTAAATTCAAAACTTTGATTCTATCAGACAAGTAGGATCCTATAGGAAAATTATAGTAAATAGTCGATATCTCAGTCAAAGCCCAACTTGGGCCCATATCCTTTTAGGCCTTTTCTAGTCTATGCATCCCCTACTTGTAGGCAAAATTTCAGCTCAAAAGCTTTTTGACGCCTCGGGTGGTTCCCTCGTAAGATCATATGTATTTCATAACCATTAAGCTCATAGAAGTTCATACTAAACAAATTGATATGAATTTTATCTTATTAAATGCGTTTTGACTAAAATTAGATTACAAAATTTCTGATTTTATTTCATTTTTAATAGAATAATCATCAAGCATACAAATCGTTAAATCGTTGTTTAGTAAGTTAAATAAAATAAAATAAAATATAAACATATTTTTATATAGAATGATTCAAAATATTATTTAACTAAAACGACTATTCCATCAGATGATTTTATTGTTCATGATAATTCACCTAATTATGGTTAGTTATTATTGATTATGATTGACTCTATTTATATATATATGTTATTTCTTTTTTAGATAACACATATATTTCACCAAAAACAGAATTATTTGATTGTAAGTTGTTTCATTAAATTATTAATATATTATATTTCGATTTTTTTCTTAAATATTTTAGTTTCATTATCACCAACACGTAAGTTTTAGTTTTATTTTTTTGATGTATTAATAAAATTTTCCTATATCAAAACAGAATATTTTAATATTCATAAATCAGATAATGAAATAAATTATCAAATTCGTTTGAATTCTTTATCTGATTTAACAGAAAATGAACTTAATTTAACTGAATCATCAAATACATCATCTAATAATGATCAAATTCTATTAACATTTTCAATAACAAATCAAAATCATAAATATTTACGTACTGTTAATCATAACAATATATCTAGATCAGTAACATCATTACCAAAACTACCTATCTATGCAAGAATTGTTAAAAGTAAGTATAAATTATTGAACAAAAAAAATTCATCATTGAAAAATTCTATTCTCATAGCACCTAAAATGATAAATATGTCTGTCAATAATATTGATTGTAATCGATTAAGTAGTTCATTGACTTCAACTGCAACATCTCTTCTACAATCAACCGAAAACGATAATATTGGAACAAATAAATCGAAAATGAAAACAAAAACTATAAATCGTTTAAGACAAACAAGTGACTCAGATATTGAAAATCATAGAAAAAAATCGAATACATTAGCTTCTTTCTTTCAAACTGATGTATAATCTAGAAAACAAAAAAGAACATAGTTTCTTGTTTTTTTTTTCTATCTCATTTTCGTCCGGTGATATTCTCTTGATATTCAACATGAATTATTAAACAAATAAATTCATTAATTAGTATTTTTCACTTTTATTATTTTTCTTTTTTGTTCTGAATACAATTAAAACAATATAGTGTACTGCAACCGAGTTCGACATCCAATATCCGGAACATGGATTTGAATTAAATATTGACAAGATGGCCACGATCTCGGCAGGACCAAGATCACAACCATCACTTGTGTGAAAGTCACAGATATTTTCAAGGAAAATATAGAGAGTGAAATTTCAAAACAATGTTTTTTTTGCCATTTCTCCCTATACCCTAGCAACCAGCAGCTGAAAAGATAATTAAGATCACTTAAATCATCATATAATTAAGCTGCTTCGACGGATATCCAATCGTTATTTCGACTCAGCATCCAACTTTTGTATTGGAATGATTAATGAGGAACTATATTCGTCAAGACTAGATATACCCATCGATTTGTGAAGGACTATAGATAATAGTAAAATATTTTTTAAAAGACCATTGATATTATTTAGGTTCGACAACTTTCACGTTGTCTTGAATATATTGAATCGTTTGATCTTTGACTTTAAACTTTCTTTCTATCAATTTCATAATGGCTTGGATATGTCGAGTTTTGCATTTGTTTACCTCTAGTTTTTCGTTCAACATGTTTTTATTTTCTAAAAAAACATCTGCATGTCAAGTGGATTTTGAAAATGAGGTGAAGTTGATTGGAAAAAAAGGTTGTGGAACTTGAAACAGTAGATAATTAACAAACCGATATCATTTTGCTCCGTTTAAACAATAAACTTCAACATAAAGAATATATTTATGTACTTCAAAATAGTTATAATATTTGAGTTTAGTACACTTTTGGCCACTATTTATAACTTTCAATTACAATAATATGAAGATATTGAATTCAACTTGATCTTACAGATGTCTTCAGCTATGCTTAACTTAGAGTGAGACATAATAACATAGGATAAAATTCGAATCATGAAAATACTTGAAATGTATGGTAATATATTCTTTTTATTATAATAAGTAATCTGTTGGTTTCCTGTTAATCATAATTGCTTTTTTGCTTTTACATCCAATTGAACTATTTTCATAGAAAATTTATCACAAAAAATTTCACTCAAAATAGATAAATTAAATCTATAAACAAATCATTTAAATATACATACTTTTTATATAACAAAAAGTATAAATACGGAATTAATCAAAAGTATTATATACAAAAATAACGTTAAGAACCTTCAATTCTATTCTTCAAATAAACAAAATATATATTTTTTTCTTATCGTTCAAAAACATGTAAAAAACAAAAAATAACAATTAAAAAAAAAACTTTTTTCTTATCTCAAACTGAGAAGTGGTACAAAATGATTAGGCATCCAATCTTCTTTCTTATTCGCAATCTTCAACTGTTTGTTACAATTTGTAAAAAGAATTTTTACATGATTGACTCCTGTTAGCGTTGTTATTTTTGATTTTGTATCATATGTTGCATGTTTATTTATTAATGGACTAAAAAGTTTACCATTAAGTAGTTGATAATGTATATCTTCATCACCATTAACTTTAGGATAAACACTTATAACATCAATATTAAGTACAGTTGATATACTTAAAAGATCCCAAATAGATGCAAAATGTGTATCATGTACCATTTCTTTTCGAACATAATCTTCAAAACTATCAAGAATCATTTCTAATGATGCATATTTATTTATGTATTCATTCAAACGAAGAACAAGTTCAACCACATTGCGAGCTCGAAGTTCAACAGAGGTTACTGCTGATGCTTCAGTTGTTGCACCAGCACCACTTAACTTAAGAAATGTATTATAGAAACAATTTCCATCACCAACAACAGCTACTGGCATCGAATTACGAAATTGTTTATCACAATGATTTTGTACATAATATTCAGCAGCAACATCACGTTTATGAATACTTTGATCAAATTTTTGTATTGGTGCATATACTAGTGGATAATAATTTAATATTGGTTTTAACAATTTACATGCCTTTTTAAGTTCATGAAGTGAAGTTTCAGCAGCAATACATAGTCGTTGTAAAAATCTATCGAATATCCTCGAACGTGTTAACTCTGAACATTTAATACATAAATGTTCACGATCAGGTGGTAGTTGTTGTTCATCACAAAGAATACAATCACGAATCGAATCAAATGATGATCGTGATGCTATTCGAAATCGACTTCTTTCATCAATAGTTGATCTTGTAGTAGTAGCTGCTTGATTGATTTTTTCTGCATAGTCAGTCCATTCTTTAACAAAAGCATCATAGATTGGACGTTCATATAATACAAATCGAACATCTTTAACATTACATGAATACTGTCTCACTGATTCAATAGCAACTTGTGCTGCTTCTTGTGGAGGAAAACGATTCGCTCCACATGATATAGCAGGATAAGCAATAGATGTTAATGAATATAGATTAGCTAACTGTAATGATGTTGAATAACATGATTGTAAAAGAAAAGCACTTTTTTCTTTTTCTTCAGTTTGATAAACTGGACCGACAGTGTTTATAACAAAAAGAGCCACATTTGGATTTTGACTATTTTTTGCAACAAATATTCTTGATTGTCCAACAGGACATGCATTTTCTTTCATCTCTTGGCTAACTGCACTTACTTGATCATCAAAAAGTTTTCCCATAGCTTTATGCATTATTTCATCCAATCCACCACTAGGATACATTGACACTCTTGTTGGATTAACAATAGCATCACATATTTCTTTACTTATATCACCTTGTCGAATAGTTACTTCCAATGAACCATTAGAAAATTTAAAGAGAATACTTCTGTCATCAATGTTTCTGATATTACTAAATCGAAAAAATAAAATAACATTTGAATTTGTCAGAAGTTACACTTACATTGCAGACATCGTCTTCTATAAATTGTTGTGTAGACGAAAAAACAAAATATTTTTTGCAAAAGTCGATGAATTTACTTTCTAATTTGTTTTTATTATTGAGTGCAGACTTTTATGTGTAATTTTCTTTCATAACAATATTTGATGTCATACGTGAAAAAAAAAACTTACTTTTTTTTTTTCTTTCTTACTGTCCTCAATGATGAGATATCAATCGACACGTGCATTACGCTATTGGTCTTATTGGGTATCTAATACATAGGAAATGGTTGTCATAGTCAAAATAAAAGAACATAAATAATGTCGTGCATTTCACCTTTATTATTTATATTGTTGGTTTTTTCCTGATCAGAAATAAAAAACCAACAAGTGTAATCATTATTAATTCTAATAGAATATCGCTATTGATTCCTGTCGATAAGAATGAAATTCAAATTTCATATCAATATGATAAATTCCTGTGAGAGTACAATATGTATCTGTTACAAATGACCGAAATTAAGAACGATAATTAATAATATTTTGAAGATGTGCAAAAAAACAAAAATCATAATTGAAAAACAAGTTACATACTAGTCAAAACATAATTAACTAATAATTATTCTCTGAAATATATTATTTTCGAAGAATACTCATAACTTTTGATAGAAAAGTGATTGAGACCTGTAATTTTCCTTGTTGAGTAGAGAACAACAAGACACACATTCTATGGAAAAGAAATTTTCTCAATAATCACGAATTAATATATTATTCGATCGATTATTTCTCATTGAACTACAAATCGATTATAATGAAAAGTTTAATTTTTAATCATTTAATTCGTAATTATTGAGGGACCTGTTTTTTTTTTACATTAGAATATGACCTACTGTTCTCTAATCAACAACCAAAACCATAGGTCTCTATCATTTTTCTTTCAGAAATTATCAACATTCTTTTCAACCGATTTATTTTAAAAAATGACTTTTGGTGAACAGTTAACTATACGTTTCAAGAGGATTATTTATAAAAAAAAATCCTGCTATATTAATAAAGTAAGTAAATAGTAAAGAAATCATGGCAGTCAACACATGACCAAATAATATGCTAAATAATACTTTGTAATAATCTACTACAAAAAATAAATAAAATTTGATTATTAAGAATGTATGTTTAAATCTTTGAAATATTATCTATTGAAATTATAGATTCCCTTATATTCTTATATATCATGTAGATAAAATTCAGTGAAGCACAAATTTACGTCATAAATTTTCAATAGATAACCTATGAAATGTTAAATACGAGAGAAAAAATGTAATTTTGTTTCTAATTTATAGCACAATATTTTAGTACAGTTGGACTAAACTATTCTTCGTAATATTAATAATGATTATTTATTGACCAAATGTGCTAAGAAATTCAAAGAGTATTTAGTTATATTTTGTTTCTTCTTTTTCTATTCAGAAAATCTATTCTTTTTAAAAGAAAGAAAAACGTTAACGTCGTTGAAAAATATTTGTTTAGTAGTCGAATTGTACAGAAATTTTTTTAACTTGCTCAATAGTTCAGGTTCATATATTGATAAAAATACGAAGCCAATAAGCCAAAATTATAACAATTATTAAACTTGATAGTGACACTCTGAAATTTCATCATTTGGAAAATGTTTGTATTTCAAATTAATATTTGAGTAATTCATTAGATCGTCTTACTGAAAATACTTATTTAAATGGTCAGATACATCTTCGATAGATAAATTCTTTTCATCTAATAATAATATATATGAGAACCATGCCATATGAAGCAAAAAATATTATTTTATTATTCATATTGCCGATTCAATCGCCGTATTAGCCAGTTATACACATTGATTTAACCATTCGGTAAGCTTCCGTGCGCATCATTCTTTTTTCTCGAAGAATTTAAATATTTAATGTTGAGCTTTGATTAATAGTACTTCAATAAGTTCACATAATTTGTTATGTCCATCCTTTTCTGAATTTGCTAGAATAATAATATTACCACCTAACTTATGAACATCTATAATACGATCTTTTCTCTACATAAAATATTAAGACTTAGAATATTCAGAACAGTAAGACTCTAAAGTAGAAATCTTTTGAAAGATTCTATAGTTCAAGAATGATCTACGTTCTCTTGTCATGGACGAGTCTTCTTCGCTACTAGGAAAACATATAAAATGCTCGTTGGTTTCTCTTCTCGTCCCGCCCGTTGATATAAAGGTCTATCGAACCACCATTAACTCTCTCTTCTTAAGATTTGGAAGAACCGCAAAAACTTCTATTTAAACTTACACTTACTATATTTTCTTCGAAAAATACATGTGCATTTCACGAAAAGTTTGAAATATATAGCAACATATTTATTTTATATAATGAACCTATTTATTTTTGGTTGATCAAAATTATTTCTGACTTTCATATCCTATTGAACTATTTTCATAGAAAATTTCGTACAATAGCCGTTACTAATAAAGAATAAAATATCAATCAATCGAACGTTTATAAATAAAATTGCAAACAACTAATTGAAATAGATTTCGTTTCTAAATCACAAAAAGTATGACTTCAGAATTAATCAAGACATTTAAAACAGAAATAAAGTTAAGAATATTTAATTCTATTCTTGAAGTACACATTACATTTTTCTTATCTCAAACTGAGAAGTGGTACAAAATGATTAGGCATCCAATCTTGTTTCTTATTCCCAATCTTCAACAATTTGTTGAAATTTGAAAAAAGAAGTTTTACATCGCTGACTGCTGTTAGCTTTGTTATTTTTGATTGTTTATCATTTATTGTCTGTTTACTTATTAATGGACTAAAACGTTTACCATTAAGTGTTTCGTAATTTATATCCTCATCACCATTAACTTTAGGATAAACACTTATAACATCAATATCAAGTACAGTTGGTATACTTAAAAGATCCCAAATAGATGTAAAATGTGTATCATGTACCATTTCTTTTCGAACGTAATCTTCAAAACTATCAAGAATCATTTCCAAGGATTCATATTTAGTTGTATACTCATTTTTATGAAGAACAAGTTCAACTACATTTCGAGCTCGTAGTTCAACTGGTGTCACTGCTGATGCTTCAGTTGTTGCACCAGCACCACTTAACTTAAGAAATGTATTATAGAAACAATTTCCATCACCAACAATAGCTACTGGCATCGAATTACGAAATTGTTTATCACAATGATTTTGTACAAAATATTCAGCGGCAGCATCAGGTTTATGAATACTTTGATCAAATCTTTGTATTGGTGTATATATAAGTGGATAATAATCTAATATTGGTTTTAACAATTTACATGCTTTTTCAAGTTCATCAAGTGAAGTTTCAGCAGCAATACATAGTCTTTGTAAAAATCTATCGAATATCATCGAACGTGTTAACTCTGAACATTTAATACATAAATGTTTACGATCAGCTGGTAATTGTTGTTCATTACAAAGAATACAATCACGAATCGAATCAAATGATGATCGTGATGCTATTCGAAATCGACTTCTTTCATCAATAGTTGTTGTTGTGGTAGTAGTAGCTGCTTGATTGATTTTTTCTGCATAGTCAGTCCATTCTTTAACAAAAGCATCATAGATTGGACGTTCATATAATACAAATCGAACATCGTTAACATTACATGAATACTGTCTCACTGATTCAATAGCAACCTGTGCTGCTTCTTGTGAAGGAAAATGATTTGCTCCACATGATATAGCAGGATAAGCAATAGATGTTAATGAATATAGATTAGCTAACTGTAATGATGTTGAATAACATGATTGTAAAAGAAAAGCAGCTTTTTCTTTTTCTTCATGATGATAAACTGGACCAACAGTGTTTATAACAAAACGAGCCACATTTGGATTTTGACTATTTTTTGCAACAAATATTCTTGATTGTCCAACAGGACATGCATTTTCTTGCATCTCTTGGCTAACTGCATTTACTTGATCAGCAAAAAGTTTACCCATCACGTTATGCATTATTGTATCCAATCCACCATTAGGATGCATTGACACTCTTGTTGGATTAACAATAGCATCACATATTTCTTTACTTATATCACCTTGTCGAATGGTTACTTTCAATGAACCATTAGAAAATTTAAAAACGATGTTTTTATTATCAATTTGCTCGATATTACTAAATGGACAAGATAAAATAACATTTGAATTTGTCAGAAGTTACACTTACATTGCAGACATTGGTTTCTATAAATTGTCTCGTGCAAAAACACAAAATACTTCTTACGCAAAGTGATGGATTTACTTCCTAGTTTGTTGTTATGATTGAGGGCACACTTTTGTTTGTAATTGCTTTTTTTCTGTGATGTTGAGTGATGTAATACCTGAAAAAAAAGTATGTTTTCTTTTTCTTTTCTTTGTATCCTCAATGGTAATTGAAATCCACACGTGCGTTACTCTATGTGTCTTGTCGAGTCTTTAACTCATAGGAAACGACTGTTGACGTCAAAATAAAAGAACATTAAAAAAAAAATGTCGTGTATTGCACTTTTATTATTTTTATTATTGGTTTTTTCCTTTTTGGAAATAAAAAACAACGACAAGTACAATTACAATGAACTTTAACAGAGTGTTACTACTGATTCGTGTCTATAAGAATGAAATTCACACTCTATATCAATGCAATAAATTCCTATGAGAATACAACAAAGAAATATACAACATGTGCCTGTTAAAAATGACCAAAATGAAGAACCATAATTAATCATATTTTGAAGATGTTCAAAACCAAAAAATAATGCTAATATAATCAATGTTAATACACCTTTTGAAAAAGAAAACAGAAGAAATAAATTTTTTCAATATGAAAAAAATTATAATTTAAAAGCAATTTACATACTAGTAAGAATATTAGTAATTAGTAAACAATTAACTATTATACGTTTCGAACGATATATTTTATAAAAAGATCTTTCTGTATTAATAAATTGAGTCAGAAGTAAAGAAACGATAGCCATGACTATACAACTA